GTGGTGCGTGTGCGTTGCGTGTGCGTGTGCGCGTGTGCGTTGTGCGTGTGCGTGTGCGTCGTGCGTGTGCGCGTGCGCTGCGTGTGCATGCGTGCGTGCGTGCGTGCTTGTGTGTGCGTGTGTGAGATGCTGTATGTTGTAGTCACAGACGGTAAGCCTGTAAGGCTGGTCGGACACGTGTCGGGGTCAGGGTAGCAGGGTTGGGGGTCACAGTAGTTCCGTATATGTGTTTTTTTGGGGGGGGGGTCAAAAGGGACACGTCTGTGTTGGTAAGATGTGGCAAGGAGTCCAAGTCAGTTGGTGTGTGTCTGCGTTGTTTGGGGTGAGGGCCAGCAGGGGGGTGGCATGCAGATGACATGTGTTAACTTGATAGAGTGACACTGACGGAGCGTAGGTATAGGTATGGAAAGGGCAATGACGGAGGGTGTGTGGGGGCTGAGAATATCCACCCGATCAAGGAAGAAGGGATTGGATTATGTTGACTGGGAATAATTACATTTGCATAGACGGCTTGTAATTTGGAAACCGATTGATTGGAAGCAATTTAGCATTGAATAATGGCAGTTCCTTATATACAATAATAAGTAAATGTATATGAGTGCGGTGTGCTACATTCTTGTGTAGCCAGACATTGACTGACAATTTTCTAATGTGGCTTTTTCCAAGGGATTTTCTAGAGTGGGTAGTAGAGGCTGCTTGTAATGGGTTCGTCTTTCATATAGTTTTAGATGACTAGTGTTTGTCTGACTGTTATTGTGTTCTCGGCGGATGGGTGATAGTATAGTAATATCATGGGCCAAGGAGATGTGAGAGCGGCGAATATATGTAAACGACTTACCGCTGTGTCTGACTACTATATATGGTCACAACACATTTCACCGTCTTTTTCTGCACCAGGGGGCAACACTGTTGCTGTGTCGCAGGCAGATACGGGTTTTCCACGAATTCAATTCGAATGTCTGCAGTCTAGAAATTCTGATGCGTGTATCGGGACCCTCGGGACATCGACGACTCTGTGTTAAACTTGCTCGTTTAATTGTCAGAGAGATTTATGTTATGTCCCGTTATGCTTGGTTCTGCACGCAGCGGACGGTGTTTCTTAAACGCTGCGAAATGCTACTAACAATTATTTACGTTGTTAGCCTCGAGGGAGACGTCGCTATTCATACGTACTACATTCATTCGTCGTTTTAGAGCAGCAGCGCATGCACGCACCAGCACTGTTCACTGATCAAGATGAGTATACAGTTTCATTTGCCAGCAACAACTCACCCTGCCAGGCCCAGATCTCTCTTTGTGGGAGAACATGCGGCGAAACGCTGCCTGTGGTGTGCAGGGTACATCTGGCATGGACAGAAAATATTCCAGCCGATATCTGATATTTGTGACAAGAGTGGATTGCTGTCCCACGGGACAGCTTTGGGAATCGCGGCTGAGTGATGTTAAATAGACAAAGAGGATGCTCGCACGTGGGTGCACAAAGACTCACGACAACAGCAAAAAAAGCTATTCAAAGAGAAAAAAAAGAAGGATTAGACGTCAGAAGTTGTGTGGCAGCAGAATTATAATGCGTGTGCTTTGTTCTAACTAGGGATTTCATTGCTTAAAGATCAGATTAGATGGGCAGTGCGGTTTCTCCTAATGCATGGGGCTAGGTAATAGCTGTGTCTGTCCTGAATATGTAAATACTGATATATAGTATATAGGTATATAGAAGTCGTGCATCGAGATTGATAACAATGGTTCTGATGTCAACTGAATATCACAATGAAGTGAATGGCACTGTGGTGACTCATGTATCTCTCTGCAAGCACGCCTGCGAGCCTGCATGCGCATGTAACCTACCAGCTACCGTCACCATGGTGCTAGGCACATGTAAGCTACCAGCTACATCACCATGATGCTAGGCCATGTAACCTACCAGCTACGTCGCCATGATGCTAGCACATGTAAAGCTACCAGCTACGTCACCATGATGCTAGGCACATGTAAGCTACCAGCTACGTCGCCATGATGCTAGGCACATGTAAGCTACCAGCTAACGTCGCCATGATGCTAGGCACATGTAAGCTACCAGCTACGTCACCATGATACTAGGCACATGTAACCTACCAGCTACGTCACCATGATACTAGGCACATGTAACCTACCAGCTACGTCGCCATGATGCTAGGCACATGTAAGCTACCAGCTACGTCCACCATGATGCTAGCACATGTAACCAGGGTTCTCCAAGCATTTTCATTTATAGCATGGCGGGGCTGCTTTTACGGGCCTAGTTTTAGCATTTTTTAGCTAATTTTAGCATGGCGGTTATGATATTTAGAGTGCGGGTGCATTTTAGGATGGCGGGCTCGACGATAGCCTGCATGGCGGGCCGCCAGGCTATAAGTGCTCTTGGAGAACCCTGGTAACCTACCAGCTACGTCACCATGATGCTAGGCACATGTAACCTACCAGCTACGTCACCATGATGCTACTAGGCACATGTAAACTACCAGCTAGCGTCACCATGATAATAGGCACAATGTAACCTACCATGCAGCTACGTCACCATGATGCTAGGCACATGTATAACCTACCAGCTACGTCACCATAATGCTAGGCACAATGTATAACCTACCAGCTACGTCACCATGATGCTAGGCACATGTAACCTACGGCCTACGTCGCCCATGATGCTAGGCACATGTAGGCCACCAGCTACGTCACCGCATGATGCTAGGCACATGTATAACCTACCAGCTACATCACCATGATGCTAGCAC